CTGGCCGATATCAGGGAACCAAACAGCTGCTCAATGGATCCTTGTTGATGTTCGTCTTGGATGGCATTCATTCATGTCAACCCCGCATTCATAGACCATCCTAAACCCCTAGGCTGTTGAATTGGGGGTATGAACCAGGAACCGCTCCACCCCACAGCTTTGGCCTTCTTCCAGCCACTGCCAAGCAACACCCTGAGGACCGTGGCAACTGGGCTTCAAGGCTCGACATTTCCGCTCGGTAAACGCATGTAAAAATGGATCAAGACACACACAAGTACTCGCAAACATTACACATGACCCACAAAGTTGCCAATCTTCAACCAGAAGCATCATCAACGGTCAGTAGCTTGGGTTTTCAGCTTCAACCCACGCCTTGTGCTTCGTTAAGGCACTCAATGGCAGAGGTCGTGGAGCGGATACTCCCGGCGCTCCCTGGAAGATGTTTTGGTAAGACCACAGGCTGTCTTCTGATTCACTCAACCAAGGTTCTTGCTGTTGGTCAAATGTCCCTCTATTGTTGATAAACACTGCTCAATAATCGATGGCAAACAGCCTGATCACGATCACCTCCCCTTCAAAAACCCACAAAATATCTTATCGAAGCCCAAAAAAGTGACGCCACAGCTGCCCTTTCAACCAGCCAAAAAAAAAGACTCCGTCAGTCACATGTTTTGATGGTCCATCCCTCCAGGCATTCCTTTGGAAAACCAAGGGTTACCCATAGCCGCCATAGCCATGGCCTCGATGAGTCCGTTCACAACCTTCAGTAGCTTCTCATCGCTCATGGCCTGACGTCGCTTCTTGGCTTTTGCCGCTTCGCGCGCCGCCGCTGCAGCCTGCAAGGTGCTGGCTGCAAGTTGGTGTGCTTATGAGTCAACTCACGAACAAAACCTACAATCCCTAGCCCAGTGACTAGTTCCGTATTGAGTAGCCCCTTGGCTACACAAAATCTGTGCAAGAATCGACCATCAACTGACTGGGGCGGTAGCTGTCTGCGAGTCAATCCGCACGTGGCAATGGCTGACCAATGCACCAAAAGGGTGAGAAAAAAAACACCGGGAGCGAGGTGGAAGAAGTAGTGGCAATACACACTACAGCTGCCTTGGGGCGGTCCCCAGGGCCGATGTCTCTCCTTTGGTGCACTCTTTTCCCTTAAAATAAACCTTCATCCATGAGAGCCTCCCATACTTTCCATGACCCCCTGGATGAGATATATATCAATGACCCAAAGGTATCATGACCATCTTCCAGTTGTGCAGAAAACACCAGGCCTCTTTCTTCGCACTTGCTCGTTGCTCCTTTGGAGACGAGCGAAAACCAGGGACCATGGTGAGGTCTCGCTGTCGATAGGATCTACCATTAGACGCTGTTTCACCAGAAATATCCAGAAATCATCCCAAATGGCTGGGGTCCATGGTCATTCCCGGAGGGACCTTGCTGGCTTTCGCCACGCTTTTGCTATTGCTCGCTGCCTGCCCCACATGCGGAACCCTAGCTGCCCTAGCGGCCCAGACGATGGTCTGCTGAGGTAATTTGCCACCAGAGTCACGCTAGACTCAGGTCCATATCTGTACATAATTGTTTTGGATCAAACGGATCTGAAATATCACATGTTACTGATGTTTGCGCATATCATTGCATATACATCTTGACGTACCGTAAGGAAATCATGGATCTTTTACTGGCCTCCAACCAGCTTCCCCACTGCAAGCCGAGCCTTCTTGCTACTTCGCAATGTCTTCTCGTTGGCCATGTTGTTTCTGCCCTTGCAGCAATGGTATCTTTTTTGGGGGGTGGTAAATCTCCCCAGAAATGTCGATATAACAAATGGTCTTTGGGATCAGATGGACGAAAGATGGAAAAGATTTGAAATTAAGCCAGGTACTTGAAAAAGTGGACAAACAACTAACGAAAATAAAACGGGGGAAAAAGTGGAAACGTTGCCAAATCATTGGGAAGAACAGGAAAACAATTGGAAGCAATAGAAAAAGGGAAGAAATTTCAAAGACCGTCAGAAAAGATGGGACAATAAGAAACTGGAAAGCCATGGCGACCCAACATTTCTTGATGTACCATTTAGAAACTGTTCCCACGGCCGGCCACGGCCCATCAATTCTGGCCTAATCGTCTCTCAAACAGCCTGCATGGCCAACTGGCAATACCTTTTTCCCAACCAAAGTTGGGACAGTTGCTGCGTTCAAGTCCTGGAAAAATCCTCAAAAGCTCAGGTTTGATGTGACTGGTGAATTTCATCTGCTGCAATAGCTAGCTGATATACAAGTCCTACGATGTTCTGAAGGTGCATGTGGTGCGGTCTGCTCTGGTTTCGTCTTGAAGGGCCTTCCATGGAACTGCTTGAAAGGTTATCCAGAACTAGGCATCCCACAAATGGCCAGCGGAAATTGCCAGTTGGATGCGATTCCACCTGCATCGCCTGCATCCCTTCCAAGCCATGTTTCTCTGTTCGAGGCCATGCTTGGACTTCTCATGTCTCAACTGCAAGGCACTGGATCAAATCGCGGCCTCATTTTTTCTCACAGGCGATCCTGAAAGAATGGGATCTGAAACTTGAAATGAACTATCTGACTATATCTGACTATAAGATCCACGAAGATCCGAGCTTTGTACATCATCCTATTCTCAGTGGATGCTTTGGAGCACAAGGCCACCGTACCAATACAATCCAATTAATGCAACTGCAACTGCAGTTGAATGCCGTGGCTACAATTGAAAACAAACCATATTCAAAATCATCTGTAGATCATCCATGATTCAAGCCTTCCAAAAACGAAACGAAAAACAGCTACTGTATGTTGCGCACATGTGGCCGCGCCACCGTTGGCATTGGCATCCCCCGTTCCTAAAATTATCATCGCCAGCACCGCGAATTTCCGCTGGCGTCATATGTACACGCATCGATCTCCCTCTCGGGCGCTAAAAGCTGGGTGAGGGCCTTGAGGCCTTGATCTTTCTCAAAAGCAAACACCAGGGCTGGGACATCCCAACTCCACTAAGGAACTTAAGATTGATCAGCAAATGTGTGTGTGTGTGTTGCACCTGATGACTTGGACATTTCATGGCTACAACATGCTACAACCTATGTACAAACCATTTGATAACATTGACGACCACTGATAACCTAGTAACCTAGTATACTTCCAGGAGAAAAGGTACAAGACCAACAGGTAAAACATTTCCAGGAGAAAAAGCATCTTCCAACTCCCATCCAAAATTGGTTCAACATCTTGGTCTCCAGTGGTTCGTAGCTTCAGAGGGGACACAGCCCTTAGACCCTGGCCACCACCAAGCTTAGCTTGCGGCACCAAACCCCCGGGCGGCGGTCAATCTTTCACCCCGGCTTGTGCCCGCTCCATCGCAGAAATGATGTGTTTGCCGTACCTGGAGGCCATGGCAGGGTGCAAAGTGGCTGGTGGAACATGTGGAACTAAAAACCTGAACCAAAGAATCATACCTGTAGGAATGCAAGCATACAACCATGTGAAACCTGGGTGCATGTGCTCCCTGCATCTCTTCCCATGCCCTATCAACCAACATCAACCAACCATATCAGTTTTTTGAGGTTGAAACTCCATGGATCTCAAATGATCTTAAAACATCTCGACCCTGGGTATGTGTCAAAACCCTTCATGTTCTATTCATGTTCCATTCATGTTTTGCAAGGCTAAAAGCCAGGACTTCACCAGGTGATCCATCGAAGATCACCACCGCGGCAAGGCGCGTGTTGGACTTCTTGAGCACCGGCATATGCTCCCGCAGCTTCCAAAACAGCATGTCGCGCTGTGGAAGCTGCGCTAGCGCGATCACGCGTTGCACTATGTAGTTGCCAAACCTGCCGGCAACCGTGGCAACGCATGGTATGGGGCGATGTATCGGAGATAGCCAAAAAGGGGGTGCATCAGGTGGAATGACGAGAATACGATCTATGATCCGATTTAATTTTTGAAAAAAAAACGTTTGAAAGATGTGCCAGAAAATTCTCTGCATGAAAGGAAGGGCCGCCTTTTCCCCTGCAATTGGGCTTGACAACTCACTTTCATGCACACCATGGGACATGTGATGATTGTGACCCCAACTCACACCCTTCCGCCTGTCACGCATCATCACCAGCAGGGGCGGATGCGGATCGTTTTGCTGTCCACAAATCGCCTAGCGCCAGGTTTGGCAGCAGCACTTTGGATGGGTGCCTCAAACTGCGATTTGGATGGCCCTTGTAGTGAGGTACCCCTTGGGGTTGAAATCCTCAACGTGAAATTGGACACCCTGGCCACTGTCCCTCAAGTTGCTTGGTTCTTCCACATGTTGGCTAGTTGTAGCCCTACTAATCACCTCAAACAATAAACCAAGTACCATGTCTAGGTCTAGATGATATCCCCGTGTTTAGATACTTTAGGCGCTTAAACCCCCGTTGTCAACGGTTAACCTTCCATGACACAACCATCAACTCCACCACCCCACCACGTTCCTAACCCACAGGCCTCCACCAGGAGCGCGCGCTCCTCAGGCGTGGCACATTGCAAGGCCTTCTCGATCACATTGCTGGCGTACTTGTGACCTGTCAGCACTCGACAGCCCAGCAGCGACAAAACTGGGGAGCGCCCATTGCTATCCAGCCATATCCAGCCCCCCAAAAAAGCGAGTTTGGGAAACACACACCTTTAAGGCCCTACGGCCAACAAGGCCAACAATCGTTGGGGTAACGGAGGTCGCCAAGGTGAAGTTTTTCCAGGATCACCAGGGTTTCTAGACCACGAACGAGTAGGGTATGCAGCTATTGGGAAAATGATGATTTAAGGCGAACCATGTCGGCATCACGGTTCTTCTTCGGTGGCTTCTTGGTGTTTAATGGCTTTGATGTTTCTCCTCTCTTGGGACAAAATCTTGCAGTTCAGTATGATCAGCCAAGCTCGGCAGCCGGACAGGACAAAGACAGAATGTTCTTCCGGATGATGTTCATGACATGCTGACGATCACCAGGTCGACTGCTATGCTCCATCACATGTTGCACCACCTGAGTCCCAAGTGCATCTCTCTGTCCATCATGTTTCTGTCCAGTTTCACCCCTCCTAACATGGGTGTTTCATTGTATTCCCCCACACTGCGACAATGTGTCTATGAGCGTATATATTTGCATATATATATATATACATACACATATATGTATTGGAACATGTGTAAATAATAATAATAATAATAATAATGATGATGATGATGATAACAATGATAACAACAATAATGATAACAATAATAATACTAATAATAGTATATGATAATGATAATGATAAAAAAAAATAATAGTAATAGTATATATATCTAATAATATATAATAACAATAAAAAAAACAATAATAATGAGAATGATAACAACAATAATAATAACAATAATAATGATAATGATAACAATAAAAATAATAACAATAATAATGATAATGATAACAACAATAATAATAACAATAATAATGATAATGAGAAAAATCAGAATAATAACAAGAATAATGGTAATGAAAACAATTACTAATAACAACAATAACAATGACAATGAAAACAATAATAATAACAATAATAATAACGATAATGATAATGATAATAATAATGATAACAATAATAATAAGAATGATAATAATGATAATGAAAAGAATCATAGTAATAGTAATAATAATGATAATGATAACAATAATAATAATTTTGATAACAATAATTAAAAAGTAAAAATAATAATAATTATTATTATTGTTATATATGAGTTCTACCTTGGCAGCAGGGCTTCTCCATGATGGGTCCAAGGTACATAGTTTCCATACTGATCCGTGGCCAGCTCCATACCTGGATCGGATGCAGATGGGGTTGCTCCTAGTTGTGCTGCACATATACTCCCCGGCACTTTGACATAGCCATGGAAAATGATGTAAAATGGCCCATTTATAAATGATTTACCCTATGTAACGCCTGTACACTATTTAAAATGGGGATTCACCACAGCTATGTCAAATTACCGGAGGGTAACCATCATATATTCACCCCGCTTCGCGTGGGGTGGCCCACACCGCAGGTTTATTTCGGTCCGTGAGAGGGAATTTTCACTTTTCCCCCGTGAAGCTTCCCAAGCTAAGAATTTTCACTTTCCCCCCCCGTGGGGGCTCCCCAAGCTAGGGAATTTTCACTTTTCCCCCCCGTGGGGGCTTCCCAAGCTAGGGAATTTTCACTTTTCCCCGCCGTGACAGCTTCCCAAGCTATGGAATTTTCACTTTTCCCTCCCTTGGAGGCTCTCCAAGCTGCGGAATTTCAAATAGCTAGACAACGACGCCTAGATAGTCCCCCAAATCCCGTGTTCTTTGAATGTGTTTCCATGTTTTTGCAATGGTTTCCTTCAAAGCACGGTACTTTACACTTTTGTCGCCATAAAACCGGTCGAAAACATCATGTTCGACAATGCTTCCAATTCCCTTATCTCCCCAACCGTTGAAAATACCGCTATTTACAGTGTTTTCTTCAATTTTTCCATGTTCCAATGCCGGTAGCCAACTCCAACATATATATATATAAGAAATCCTTCCAAAACATTGTTTTTGACAGTGTTTTTCCAATGTTTCCAGTCAAACAGACGGTAATTTACACGTTTTTTGCCATAAAGGCAGTAAATCCTTCCAAAACATTGCTTTTGACAGTGTTTTTGTAATGTTTCCAGTCAAGCATACGGTAATTTACACGTTTTTTGCTATAACGTCAGTCCAAAACACTTGTTTTTGCAGTGTTTTCAATGCTCTGGCATCCAAAAACCCTGCAAAATCTTGCTATGTACAATGTTTTTTTCATTTTTGGCCGTTTTTCCATTGCCGGAAAGCTACCAAAATGACCCAAAATTCCATTTCAATACCCTCTTGCGCTCAGACACCCAAAAATCCTCGAAAAATGTCGAAAACACTACCTAATTCTGGTCTCGGTGCGAAACCGTTTTTGGCCCCCCCCCAGCTAAAGCTGATATAGCGACTGCTATATTAACAAATGTGATTGAGCATTTAGTGTAGCTGTTTCCCCCCAATAAGCACGCCTTCACCGCCAAAGCGGTGTGGGCGGATTTCATTAAATTTCAACCAATCCCGGGAAATCCCATTGAATCCTCATTAAATCACCCTGTCAATTCCCATTCAATCACTTAGACTAATGAAGATGCCGAGCGACAACACTGAAGGACCTCATCCAGCAGCGCAGAGATCTGCACCGAAGCGCAGTATTCGATGAGTCGTTGGATCACACGGCAGCCGTAGCCTCGGCCGGGTCATGGGATTCCTGGAGGGCCATGGGATGGGATGCCATGAGAGATTTTTCTTGGTGCGTTTCTAGGATTTTTTTACTGGGAAATCCATGTCATTTGGATTTTTTCCCTGGGGAAATGAGGCATTGAGCATGGGATTTTGGGATTTCTCCAGTTTGAGGCAACCCCCATGCGGGAGTTGCTAAGCACGTGTTCAAGGACTTTGGAGGAGAAACCAAGATTTTGTTGCGGTTGGATATGATGACTTGGACGCAATTCACTAGTTGGTGAGTTTGAAGGGGAGGATGATTGTTCTTCAACAGTGCTAAATTGCAGTTGAAGAACAATGCTTGGCCATGCGCGCTGCTTGACCTCAGCATGGCTTGCATGATATCATGTCCATCATCACTCCTATGGACTGGAACAAAGGTTGCCCCCCTGGGTGCCCAAACCAAGGAAGGAATCCACGATGAAACCAATGCGATCCGTCGGAAGTCGCTCAATGCCTTGGGCGAGGGTGCCAATGATGAGGGGAACATGAGTTGTGCAGGAAAACTGCGCAGAGCCTTCCTGCCCACATCGCCAAGTTGCACTTCTGAATGACATGGTTCCCATGCTGGTCTTCAATGCACTTCAGGACCTCAAAAGTCAAACGAATTCTTCCCACATGCTGAGATTGATCAAAATTCACGTAAACCACATCAATATTCGGAAATGTGTTGAAATCTCCAGACTAAAAATGGCCATGTTTCCATCCACCTTGTCGCCTCCCAAAAAGTCTTCTCGAACCCATCGACGCCAAGCAACATGGCCCTTCAACTCACCGATCAGCAATACCTGCTTCTCGATGGGAACGGAATCCAGCGCCTCATGGAGGGGAGATGTGAGTGTGCTGGTTGGTGCTCAACCCCATCCCCAGAATATGCTAGTGAGTTCGAAGTTGATCTCCTTCCATGACCAAAAAAAATTACCTATATACAAATTGGAAGGGAAGGGCAATAAAAGGATTTATTACATTTAAAATTTTTAAAAACCACTAACCCTAACCGCTAACCCTCCATAAAGCCTCTGGGTCGTTGATGTTCTTTCTAGCCATGTTTCCGTTGAATTCTCTGACCTACCAATCAGGTCACCCCTGCCCAACCAGGCCCTTCCCTTTGGCACCTTCTGAACCACTCGGCACCTCAGTTGGAGCCCCGAACTTCTGGTGGAAGGGACACTAAGGAGGCGAATTTAGATGTGGACTCTATACATCTTCCAAGTGGCACTTGGACATTCCAAGATTTTAACTCTACTTCTTCTAACATCCTTCCATTATATAACCGTTGGGAACTATACATATACCACCAGCCCCTCAACACGCCGCCTCCACCTCCATCCGAGAATCGTCTCTAAAAAACTGCATCCAAGGCGCCCGTACATCTGGAGGGAAAGTTTCAAGACTTGTCCCACCAGCTGCTCCGCCAAGATGCGGCGTTGATCCGCATTGCCATACCTATGGGGTGCAAATGGGGTCAGGCATGGCGCTTCGGACGTGAAACACCGTATACAGTAAGACAAAAGAAGTAACTCCACCTAGAACTTGAAATGTGTGCTGTGCTGGGATGATGAGCTCGGACCCTTCAACACCCCTTTGAAGCTGTCAAGATGCTCGAAAAACTTCTGGATGACATAGTTGCCAAAGACGTCCGTGGTCAACTGGTTCATCCTCATTCGGGACACCAAGCATGAGTAGTAAAGCACTAAGCCACACTAAACATCATAAAGCCTCTTGATCTCCAAGACGCTAAAACCCTGGCTTATGAACATTTCAATGAAGTTAGATAGTTGATCTTGGAGTGCTCTCGCCCAGATGAAGCAACAAGATGCTGAAATATTTCATTATCCATAAGAAACTTCGCCAAGGGTCTTTTGGAGAACCTGTTTGAAGGCTTGCTGTTTCTGTTCTTCGGTGGCCACCTCCAACTTTTGCTGGATCAGCCTGGCTTATAGACACAAAAAAAAACTATTTAATGTGTTACAACTTTACCCTGTCATTGTTCCATGAATCTCAAGCCAAACAGCAAACAAACAGCAAACCCCCAAAATTGGGATGCCAAAGAAGTCTTTGACGTAATGTCATGCGCTGTTGATAAATTGACGTAGTTACCGACATAGTTCGTGTTCAAGGCGGATTCCAGAACCTTCCATTTCTCTTTGGTCAAAATTGCCATCACTGATCCCTCCAAATCAACTGACAATGAAAAATGCCAACTCCCCGGCAGCTAAAACATGCTAACACCGACTAACACCTTCTAAAATCCTCCCAGGCCTGGAGCCATATTGATCCTGCGCGATCTCGCTGATGTGCATCGACAGCTCGGCTAAGTCCACGACTCTCTCACGCGCCTGGCGGTGGTGGAGGTCATGTGTCGGCCTGCGATGTTTCTCCAAAACCAAGCCAATGAAGGTTTGAAGTAATGGAAGTCCCTTCAAGTGATGAAATACAAATTTGTAAAGATATGCAGTTATATACATATACACATACATATACATTTACATATGCATATATATACATTGCGGCATATTTGATTATATTCATGGCATCATTTTTCCCCACCTGCCAGGTGAGGGTTGTTAGATTTTATGTCAGTTGCCTGCTCCTCCTCTCCTCTCCTCCTCCTCTCCTCCTCCTCTCCTCCTCCTCTCCTCCTCCTCCTCGTCGTCCTCCTCGTCCTCCTCGTCCTCCTGCTCAACTGCGACCCGCGATCCACAGTGTTCTCTGTCGGACCTCAACCACGACCATCCATGCTCAGTGTTCCCCGCCGGACCTCAACCACGCCATCCACGCCCAGTGTTCCCTGCCGGACCTCAACCACGACCATCCACGCCAAGTGTTCCCTGCCGGACCTCAACCACGACCATCCCCGCCCAGTGTTCCCTGCCGGACCTCAACCACGACCATCCACGCCCAGTGTTCCCTGCCGGACCTCAACCGCGAGTATCCACGCCAAGTGTTCCCTGCCGGACCTCATGTAGGAAGATATGGGACAAAGAATGTGCAGAAGAAAGTTAGAAAGAATGTCAGAAAGAATGCCAGAAGATATGCCAGAAGATATGCCAGAAGATATGCCAGAAGATATGTCAGAATATATGCCAGAAGATATGCCAGATAGAATGCCAGAAGATATGCCAGAAGATATGCCAGATAGAATAGAATGCCAGAAGATATGTCAGATAGAATGCCAGAAGATATGCCAGATAGAATGCCAGAAGATTTGCCAGATAGAATGCCAGAAGATATGCCAGAAGATATGCCAGATCATATGCCAGAAGATATGCCAGATAGAATGCCAAATAGAATGTCAGAAGATATGTCAGATAGAATGCCAGAAGATTTGCCAGTAAGAAAATGTATAAATGTCATGGTGGGGATCACACGAAGTAAAGTAATTTTGATTTTAAGATTCTGATGTGTGGTGCCCATTGGTGCCCCATCTCTCATATCGGCAATGTGGCGCCCCTGAGCCACCTTAAGATGCTCGATCAAAGGGCTGCTGGACTGTGGTCTCGGCTTGCCGACTCGGGACTCCTCGCCGGCCTGGCTGCCAGTGGAATCGGGGTCTGCACCAATGGGCCAATGGGATCCAATGGACTCAGAAAATTGCTTCTTCTTGGTAAGTACCCTCTGGTAAACTAACATAACTATGGAAAATCACCATTTTTAATGGGAAAATCCACTATAAATGGTCATTTTCAATAGGTACGTTAAATTACCAGAGGGTATCACCTAAAAATCATGAAAACCCTCCTATTCTTGCAGTAAGATTGGAGCCAAATAGCCATATCGTCAGCAGCTGCCCGGGCGCCATGGGACCCAAGACCCACATCTTTCTGCTGCACCTCTGTGTGTCCACCTCGCCGCCGGCGGTCGCCCTTGCCTGAGGAAAGAACATGAAAAAAATTAAAGATTGTGTAAATTGTGTATGTATGTGAGTATTGTTACTAGGGAGTGAATAGATGAAATTGTGAATAGATTGTGACTAGATTGTGAATACATTGATGATCCAAACTGCTCTGAGATTGTGAATCCTTGGGCGAAAAAATGATGGATGACAGAACCTCCGGACAGGAAACTGTTTAACTATCCGAGAAAAACTTCAAGTCATGCAAGCACAAGGTTGAAGTACCGCTTTATGTCATTGATGATCTAGCTTTGATCTAAGTTTGGTCTTCGTTTTTCATCCCTGTTCGGATGTTTTCTCTGCATCCCCTTTATGCAATCACACCATCCGGAAGAGATTTGGAGAGATATCTAAACCACTTAGATCCACTTAGCCAAAACATAACTTGCAACAAGCCCATGGCCCAAGCCATCCCAAACCCTTCACCCCTTCACCCCTTCACCCCATCACCCCGGTGGTGTGGTGCCTCCACCCTTCTCTGCAGCTCGGGTGTTGAGGCTGGCGGAACCAGGTGCAATGGCACCCGGCTCGTGCTGCTGGGGCAGGGGAGCCTTCGGAGTTTCCTTCTCCTACCGCCATTGGGACAGTGGGGGACCAAACATCTGAAATTTTGATCACTCCAGGTCAAGATTCAGAAGCTTTGGCCTGGAAAAAAGTATGAGAAGTAACAGGGGTGTGTTAGATTTGTTGAATGGTGAAAGTGAAGGTGCAATTTAACAGATAAGCATAGCCCCAACATGCATCAACCATCTGCAAAATCAACCAAAGCCTCCCTTCCTCCAGTCCAACAATGTCAATAAGTTTGGCATGGGGAAATAAGCTCAGTCTGCAAATGTTGTATACCAAAGACAAACACAAAAGAGACTGAAGCAAAAAGAATTCGAAGTCCTTTCGTTGCTTCCCCTTCTTGTTCTCATTTTGACTTCTCGGCGGCTGTGGCCCTGGAGGCAACGCCTGACTGGGGCTCAACTCCCTTTGAGAGGCAAACTCCGGCTCCGGCGCCCGCACGAACCGTGGCGGCGGCATGCTAGGGAAGTTGCTGGGTCCCGTGGCGGCTGCCCCCGGTGGCTGGTTCTGTAGCGCCATCATCATTGACAGCACCCCCGGGTCCACTGGCACCGGGCCAGCCGGGCTCATTGGCGGCTTGGGTTCCGGCTTCACTGGCGTCAGGCCTGGGGAGCTGCTCTCATTGTGCAGCACCATGTTGACGAAGCCTGACTGGTTGCCCCCCCAGACTGCCTGGGAGCCGCTGTACCCGGCGAAGCCGGCACCGCCACGGGAGCTGCTGGAGCTGGTGGCAGGGATGGGATCCTCCGAGCCGAAGCCCTGTGGCCGTGGGCCGCCGTATTGGTACACGGGGGACGGCGAGGGCGTGCGGGCGATGTCCATCCGCTGGTGGGCTGGACGACCTCGACTTTCATCCAAGAAGAAGTTCGGAGGCCCCAAGGTCGAATCGAATAAAGGATGCGGCAAGCCGGGCAAATCAGCCCGGGCCGGTGCCGTGTTCTGATCTAGCAAGATGCTGCTTGCCAGTTCACCCTCATAGGCATCTCCATGGGAATGCATGGCGTGCCGTGACCAAAGACGTCCCGAAGCCGTCTTGCGGTTAAAAATCGCACTGTCATGCCACACAACATGGGAGCCAAAGGCTGCGGCGATAAAATGAATTCAGATCCATCAAGTCCAAAACAAACAACTTCACACTGTATGGCCAGCAAATTATGCAATGATTCGGTATGAGAGTGATCCAACTCTTTCGTCAATGCACAGGGAATACGGCTGAAGAATTGGAGGTTCTATGGGAATCTGGCACCAGACATATCAGTGACTGTCAAGTGTTAAGAAGTGTTAACAAAGCACATGTCATGCTCAGCTTTGGATGTGAGGGTCACCCCATCTTTGGCACGAACCGAAACACATTTTTTTGCTCAACGAGGGCGGGCGATGAAACACCCTTGTGGTGCCAATTCAGCCTTCTGGCATTGGCCTTACAGAAAAACTGCAGGGAGGAAATTACCAACAAAATGCAACGGATTTGGTTTGCGGGCATGGCACAAGTGAAAGCAAAAACTGGGGGATACTGTTTTTTGCCCGGAATAGTCTTGGTGTCACCATCTGCTTGCAGGCTGAATTTCGACGGGAGAAAGCACCAGCTGAAAGAAATACTAACAACAGAAGAAGGTCTGCTTTTCACCTACACGGCTTCGATGCAGAAAGTGCATCCCAAAAAAGGGAAACATTGCCGCTTCCGCTTTTACACTATGTGCCGCACCCGTTTGTCTTAACAGGTGGAACGGTTGTGTACAAGGGTTTTTTTAAGGGAAAAAAATGATAAATCAGGCGTTGGAGTGTGGGGTCTGAAATCTCGTGACAAGTCCAGCATCCCCAAATCACCTCGGCCAACAAAATTCCGGACCGAGGAAGATCAAGTCGATGCACTCTGTTCCTGGGACATGAGCTGAATAGTTTTTGCTAGCAACAAAAACATATCCCCAATTTTCGTTTAACAGGCTTGAATGAACCGTCCTCAAATTACCGGCGCAAGCAACAGGGTTGTCCAAATGACCCTCTTGAAAATCAAATGATGAAACCAAATTTTGAGTCTCACAAACAAAATCAAACAAACACATGATGGCAATCAGTTGGACTTCTTTTTCGCACACAGATCGGACTCCCCCTATGAACTATTGAGTTTTTGTTGGTTCGATCACCAAAGAGTGCTTTACAAAGATGAAGGCTTGGCTGGAGTGACAAGTTAACTGGATTTCTTCGAGGTGAAGCTCTATTTGCTTTAGTGTTTTTGTTGGGTAAGTTACGTTTTATTTGCATCCGGTCGATATCAAAGAGAATAGTTTAGCCTGGTTTTCATTTGTTTTCGGCCTTACTTAAATCAAATAAATTATGCGCTCCGGAGTGTGCAATTTATTTTAAACAATAGTCAAAACCATTGAATACCAGGCTACACTATCAACTCATATATATTATACCTCATGGAACCCATGAAACTTACTGTGCCTTTCGATTTGTTAAACAACAGTTAAACTAAATCACGCGCTCCACAGCGCGCAATTCATTCAAATAAAGTTCAAAGCCATTTAGTACCAGCCTAAACCATTGTCTTGTTTATTCACCCCAGGGAAATGAAGCCTACTTTATTCAACAAACATATTAAAGTAAATCACGCGCTCCGGAGCGCATAATTCACCACATCAAGTTCAAAGTCATTTAGTACCAGCCTAAGCTATTGTCTTGTTGCGCCATTCTTCCTGACGCCGGAGCGGCGCGAACCCCATTGTTGAGTGATTCTTCTTGAACGGGGATTGGCCCGAACCCCACTGTTGAGTGATTCTTCTTGAACGAGGATTGACCCGAACCCCACTGTTGAGTGATTCTTCTTGAACGACGATTGGCCCGAACCCTACTATTGAAAGATTCTTCTTGAATGGGGATGGCCGAACCCCATTGTTTACTGGTTCTTCTTGAATGGGGATTGGTCTGAACCCCACTGTTGAGTGATTCTTCTTGAACGGGACTTGGCCGAACCCCATTGTCTAGTGGCTCTTCTTGAACGGGGATTGGCCCGAACCCCACTGTTGAGTGATTCTTCTTGAACGGGGATTGGCCCGAACCCCACTGTTGAGTGATTCTTCTTGAACGGGGATTGGCCCGAACCCCACTGTTCAGTGATTCTTCTTGAACAGGGACTGGCCCGAAACCCACTGTTGAGTGATTCTTCTTGAACGGGGATTGGCGGGAACCCCACTGTTCAGTGATTCTTCTTGAACGGGGATTGGCCGAACCCCGTTCTTGAGTGATTCCATTTGAACGGGGATTGGCCGGAACCCCACTGTTGAGTGATTCTTCTTGAACGGGGATTGGCCCGAACCCCACTGGTGAGTGATTCTTCTTGAATGGGGATGGCCGAACCCCATTGTTTACTGGTTCTTCTTGCAAGGGGATTGGTCTGAACCCCACTGTTGAGTGATTCTTCTTGAACGGGGATTGGCCGAACCCCATTGTTGAGTGATTCTTCTTGAACGGGGATTGGCCCGAACCCCATTGTTGAGTGATTCTTCTTGAACGGGGATTGGCCCGAACCCCACTGTTGAGTGATTCTTCTTGAACGGGGATTGGCCGAACCCCACTGTTGAGTGATTCTTCTTGAACGGGGATTGGCCCGAACCCCGTTGTTGAGTGATTCCTTTTTAACGGGGATTGGCCCGAACCCCATTGTTTACTGTTTCTTCTTGAATGGGGATTGGTCTGAACCCCACTGTTGAGTGATTCTTCTTGAACGGGGATTGGCCGAACCCCATTGTTTAGTGGCTCTTCTTGAACGGGGATTGGCCCGAACCCCACTGTTCAGTGATTCTTCTTGAACGGGGATTGGCCCGAACCCCGCTGTTGAGTGATTCTTCTTGAACGGGGATTGGCCCGAACCCCACTGTTGAGTGATTCTTCTTGAACGGTGATTGGCCGAACCCCACTGTTGAGTGATTCTTCTTGAACGGGGATTGGCCCGAACCCCACTGTTGAGTGATTCTTCTTGAACGGGGATTGGCCCGAACCTCACTGTTGAGTGATTCTTCTTGAACGGGGATTGGCCGAACCCCACTGTTGAGTGATTCTTCTTGAACGGGGATTGGCCCGAACCCCACTGTTGAGTGATTCTTCTTGAACGGGGATTGGCGGGAACCCCACTGTTCAGTGATTCTTCTTGAACGGGGATTGGCCGAACCCCGTTGTTGAGTGATTCCTTTTGAACGGGGATTGGCCCGAACCCCACTGTTGAGTGATTCTTCTTGAACGGGGATTGGCCGAACCCCACTGTTGAGTGATTCTTCTTGAACGGGGATTGGCCCGAACCCCGTTGTTGAGTGATTCTTCTTGAACGGGCATGCTAGGCAATGAATGAAATCTACTCAATTAGGTAGTAGGGAAGAATCTAACTCCCTTGTTGAGTGATTTGCGTTGAACGGGTCAATAAAGGAGAGAGGAAAGCTTAACTCCCTTGTTGGGCAATTCTTCTTGAATTGGTGACATCAATTGCAAAACAAAGGGCTCAATAAGGGAATGCGATGACATGTAACTACCCTCTTGAGCGATTCAACTTGAATCACTCAACAAGGGAGTGATGTTTTTCCTAACTCCCTTATTGAGTGGATTTGTGTTTTGCCAAGATTCCACCGCCAATCGAAGCTGATGGCTGATCCAATCCAGCTGCGGAATCATGTGGGGACAACTCCTCCCCTAAATGCAAAACATCACCATCAGCGCCAAACAGGCAATAGAAGGGAGTGGAGATGGAAGAAAATGGTGAGTCCATGTAACCACACTTAATCGTGACATTATACTGTTTTCATTTCCCACCAACAAAAAATGATAAATAATTGAAAAAACTTACTTAGACAAGTTGATTATATAGTGCTTTCATAAAAGTGAGCATGCACATGCCCACCGTAATGGTAGCATCAAGCTGCGGAATGAATCTGAACATATCTGAGCCCAAGGGCCCCAACAAAGATGTTGGTATAAGGAGTCCGTAGCCTGATGTTATATGGTTTTGAATGCCATTTAAAGTAAATTACACCTTCAGTATTTGAATGTGTTGAACAAAGTACGTTTCATTTAATTACATGGGATCAACATACGAGACAATAGTTTAGGCTTGTAATAAATGGCTTTGAACTTTATTTGAACAAATTACGCGCTCCGGAGCGCGTCATTATTACGCGCTCCGGAGCGCGTAATTGACTTTAGTATTTAAATGTATTGAATAAAGTACATTTTTCTTACCTTGGGTCAATATACGAGACAATACTATAGGCTGGTACTAAATGGCTTTGAACTTTATTTGAACAAATTACGCGCTCCGGAGCGCGTCATTATTACGCGCTCCGGAGCGCGTAATTGACTTTAGTATTTAAATGTATTGAATAAAGTACATTTTTCTTACCTTGGGTCAATATACGAGACAATACTATAGGCTGGTACTAAATGGCTTTGAACTTTATTTGAATGGATTACGCGCTCCGGAGCGCGTCATTATTACGCGCTCCGGAGCGCGTAATTGACGTCAGTCTTTACATGTGTTGAAAAAAGTGCGTTTTATTTAATTTCATGGGATCAGCATACGAGACGATAGTTTAGGCTGGTACTAAATGGCTTTGAACTTTATTTGAATGGATTACGCGCTCCGGAGCGCGTAATTGACTTTAGTATTTACATGTGTTGAAAAAAGTGCGTTTCATTGGGTCACTATACAAGACAATAGTTTAGGCTGCTACAGAAAAATGGAGCTAAATTCCAACAGCTAAAAGTGATGTTCTGAATGATATCAAATGGAGCTTTTGGACGACCCTGAGCAACGTCACCAATTGAAAACGCCCGAGCGAAGTTGTGATTGCCACGAATATCGAATGGCAGTCCCTTGCTTTCATGCACGAACCCCATGACACCTACAGGCTGGGGCCAGGGCCCTTTGCAAAATCCATCCGTTGAATCAAAACGCTGCTTCATATATAGTTGTTTGATGTTTGTTGGTGGTTTAATTGATGTAGGTGACCATTATAAAAATGATAATTCGACCATTAACTAACGATGGTAGAAAATGTCAAGACTTTCAGTGCAGCCCAGTCCACCTCTGCATGGATTTCACCACGAATCCCATGTCACCTGGCGCGAGGACTGCAGGGACTCAGGAAAGAACATGATATTCATCAGGAAAGACTACAACAACCCCTAAATAGAAAAGGAATCCAGCACTATTTCAGTAGGATGTTACTCTTAGATCTTTTTGGGGTTGCTATACGGCACGAGGCTGCGGAAGCATATGAGCTTTCAATTTTCACAAGTGATGTCTGTCTTCCCAATGATCTTGAAATATGTCCACGTTCTCACCACCTCAGGCAGTGAGTCTAAACTCTCTATGTACATCTCCCACCCTTCCAAGGATCAAGAAGCCTAATCATCCGAACTTGGGTTTGTCCAAAAGAATGGCACTCCGGGCATCCCAAAATCCTAATCATCTTCAAAATCTTCCTCCTCATCTTCTTCCCAATCCAACAGGCTCCCCTCATCCGAGGAAGCATCTATCATTTGCTCATCTGCAGCCGTAGGGCCAGATGGAGGCATCAACAACTTCTCCAACTCGTCACCATCGTGTTCCATAGCAATGAGGCCGAAGCATCCATTGAAATCCCTCACCTGGTGGCATGGGAAGGGACCCACCATTTTTTGGATGACTTCTTTGTAAACCATCCAAGTTTGGGAGTTCAACTGTGAGTTTCATACCCATCGTACCCGATTCTTTGTTAGGTAGTCTGAACCATCCAAACCAACTTCATTCATGTTGGCTTTGTCGCTGCTTCTGGAAACATGATTGGACCAGCCACCTTGAGAAATCAACAATTCGGGCCTGTGCCAAAAACAGGAGGGACACCCAAATTGCAATTTGATGTGAAATAAATCATGATAATCCACAGATATCCACAGGACTTGGGGTTCAACCCCATGTGACGACCCCATTTTGCGACGACCCCCTGCCTCCCTCAGCGCCTTTCGAAGGTGTCCCAGCGCTGTAAGTCCGGCAGCATCCACTGCGGAGACATCAGCCCTCGCCTCAATGAGTCTTGCACAGACCTCCGTGGGCACAGATAACCTGGTTGAGCCGCCCATCAAAGAAGGATTGACCAACTGGATGTCACAATGTCCAGGTCCAGGGGTCTCAAAATAAATGCTTAAATAGAGGTCCATCCCAATTCCAGGGGTGAAAACTGGAAAAAATGAAGAAAGTACATTAAATGAGCCGTGCTTTTTTGTTGCTAAAGGCTAAAGGCCTATGCACTGATGGCGGGGCTTCGCTAATGGCTAGGCAATGCATGGATTTGTGCAAAGGTTGGCTTCGTGCGGCTTCGCGGAACACTTTTGCCTTCGCGAACTGGCTTCGCGGGGGCTCTTGTCTAGCAAGAGCAAGATACCATGTCTCAGCAGGTGGAAGAAAGGAAGGTGAGGTTTTGAGCCTCAGATGCGGAGGCGAGAGGGTGATGGCAGGAAATTGGTCCACGGAAGCTTCGCGTGGGCTTCGCGGGGGCTTCGCGGGGGCTTCGCCGGGCTTCGCAAAACAGGGCCTGGAATTCTAGGAAGGCATGCGTCTGGTGAGACGTTTCAAGACCTTTGAGGCGACGTTTGAGCGGCGTTTGAAGCCAGAAACAGAGAGCTATAACCATCGTGTATATCTAACATTATCTTTTTATCTGCGTTCGCGAAATGCCTTCGCATGTGTCAAATCTAGAAGCTTACGCCGAGAAGCTTCGCAAGCCTTCGCGGATTGACAGGTATCACACAAATGCCTTCGCGGTCATATGTTGAGTTCCATCGTCATACAAAATCCATCATTAAAAAAAACACTGCTCAAATGGTGAAAGGAATGAAAAGCACCACCCAGTAGCGTATCTCTTGACAGACTGCCACAAGCACCCTTCGCAGCCAACATGAGCGGCAACAGGCTGCAGCCATCAGGTCGGTTGACAGCTTTTTCCGTCGAAGGGACCAAACGCAGCAGCATCTCTAGCTGCTGCAGGCTGCGGTTGTAGGCGCAGCAATGGATGGCATAGGAATCTTCGATGGAGGCGCCTTTCTTGAGCAAAGCAGAGATTTGAGCCTCAGCCCCTTCGTTTTTCACGAGCTCCAACAAATCCTCCGGTGCTTGGGCATCCAATCAGGGCCAAAAAAAATCAAAAAAATATCAAAAAATACTCAAAAGACTAGGTCTAGCTAGTTGCTTGGGGTCATCACCCCATACGAACAACAAGTACCAATGTCAGCCAAACCACCAGCCATCTATCTTGCTTCCAGTACGTCATATTCCCAAAGAAACCCCATGTTTTCCACCCAAAGGATGGGTGAAAAAAAAGACAACCTACCAACCACCCAGGTCCTGGTTGATCTGTGACAAAGGTTGCAGGTCCTTGGGCTCCAAAATCTCCACCATCTTCGCCTCGTTGGTCGACTTCATCTGGTGCTCCAAAAAGCTGGGTACCGCGAAGAGGCAAACGATGCGCGGACCCTCCACCGCCAGCTCCCGGGCTTGAACGAAGCCAGCCTGGAGGAACCACAGCAGCTCCTGATTACAAAACAATGGAAGTGGTGGGGGTCAGGGGACCTGTGTAGCCTATATCCCATGAAATGATATGCACATGTATGTGTAGATGTGATTAGATGTGTCTATAGGGCGCGCACGCATTTATTCATCAAGCACTCCCAGTATATCCCAATATCTCCCAATGGAAAACTGGATGAACCAGCTCCTCTTCACTGGGAATCACCACTGCCAGGCTCCATCTTCCCTTCAAAGTCGTCTCCTGCAGCAGTTTCCTCACCACCACCGGTCCCACCTCGGGCTGCCGGAAGAGCTTCGAGTTCCCCTCCGCCAGGCGGTCGATGTAGAGAAACCCTCCGGTCATCACCTCGGAGCCACAGGCCTTGACCGAAGCCAAGCGGACCCGGCCCCGGGCATCGCAGAAGCTGGTGCCCACCACCTCCAGGTCTTGGGATTCCGCGTCGCAGGCTTCATGGAAGTTGTAGCGCAAACCCTTGCGCCGCTCCAGCAGCACCATGTCGGCATGGCTTCGATGACCTGCCAGGGAAATCCTGGCATTCAACACGTGCACACCATCGTATTCTGCTGCGCCCTTGCGCCCCAATTCAGTGAAAAACTCCTTCAGGTCAAGAAACTCCATATCCCTGCTCCATTCTTCCCCATCTTTGTTCATCATTTCTTTGGGCGTCACCAATCTCACCGCAGCCAGCTGCGGCGTGCGCAGCACCGCATGTCGGAAGGCAACCGAGACTGCCGACGCGACGGCACCGTCGCGCACGGGCAGATGGCTCAGCACTTGCAGCAGGGTCTCGTCCCCTGCAAGGAGTGCCATGGCGGCTCCACAACGTGGAAAGGTTTCAAAAAGTCACAGGCTTTCCATGGGGTTTGCAGGCTTGAGGATTGTTGTTGCTGATGTAAATAACTGCCGAATTCGTCTAAACCATTCGTCGTGTCTAACTTTTTACTTGACACATATTGTGAAAGCTTGTGTGGCTTCTACATTATGTTGGCAGGGGTGTGATTGTGGAACTGTATACTGTAAAATTAACCCCGAGCTCTTGAGCTCGGAAGAAGACCAAATGATGGACACCGCAAGGAAACCAACCAATTTTGCTGCACACAGCTCTGGAATGTCAGCAGGCAAATCGTTTTTGGGGTGTAAACACAGTTTATAATCTCCATTGGCTCGATCTACTGCAACTACATGAGACCAAATTTCGGGCTGCGAATGAATAGGAACACATGCAAGCAAAGGATCTCAGAAATTACGTGATTGGAGTCCATTGGGATAGCACAGACTTCCTCGAACACTTTGTGTTGAGATGAAAACGTTGAGGTGTCAAAAGGAGGAGATGCAAGGAAAGCCGGACTACTATCTTGGACCAACCACTTCAAAATGTACATCGCAAATGTTGGTCCCCGGCCACGCTTCAAAAGTTCTGATACACCGATGGAGTGTGGGCCGAAGGAAAGAGAAAACCGTAAAGTTGTTCATTGTGTGAAGATAAAGGAGTGTTATTGCCACCATGTTACCATCATGCGGCTAGGCACAGCATCAATTTGTTTTTTTCAGAATCTTGGGCCAAAGCAACACAGTTCAGAAACATCGCTGCATATCATATTGATAGATAGTAGCAGATTGTATCACCTGCAATGCATAAAGATTGCTGGAAAAGCCGAGACCCCTGCTCCTTCGGACAACAGCATACAATAACGCAAGCGCATGGAAACCCGCAAGTGTTTGCAAAAATGTTGTTGTGACAACTGGACCTTTCAGCTGGAGTGAAGGTAAATTTCACAGAAGATTGTTGAATCATTAACTTTGCCAACAATGACTCTGAATTGGCACCTCCTCAAATTTGGCAATTCGTGTTGAAACTTCAATATCGTTTAGCATACCCATCCAAGTCATGGCACACAGGGGACGCCTCCGACAGCAAACAATCCTCATCCGTGGTGATCTGATTCAAGCGTCCAACAAACCAACTATCGATTTATTGATGTTCTTTTGACACACTGGCGGCCTCCATCACCGATGTCTCAAACAAGTAGAGTGGCACCAGGTACTTATGTCTTGACCAGAAGCGGCGGTTCGCACAGATCGCATGGTGAATGACCGGATTTAGTTGATTGTTTCAATTTTTTCATGAGCAATATTGATCCTAAATAATATGTTTGTTGTGGTGGTCCTCTATTGTGTCCAGCTTTTTTTGGAAGTATTTTTTCCAAAATCATTTTCTCCTTTCCTTTTCCTTTCCTTTGCTAATACTTTTCTCTTTTTTGCGTTCTTAGCTCCATTCTTTTGGAATTCCAAGAAATGCCCGGTTTCCCATAATATATGATGCCTTATTAAAACCCAATTCAAAATACAGCATCCACGCAATTTTTCAAGGGAGTAGTCCATGAGCAACCCTGATCCTCAATAGTATGTTTGTTGTGGTGGCCCTCTATTGTGTCCAGTTTTTTTTTAGAAACATTTTTTTCCAAAAAGTATTCTCTCCTTTCCTTTTCCTTTCCTTTGCTATAGCTTTTGTCTCTTACTTAGTTCAATTCTCCTGGCATCCCTCCTTGGTTTGTATGGCGTTTCTAGTGGGTTTTGGCAAAATTTCTATGGAAATTGTATTTAAATTCTATGGGGTTTCTTTGGGATGTACATAATATTTCTCTTGGAATTCTATGATCTTCTATGAGATTACTATGGGGTTTTAAAAAAAATATTTCTATGATATTTCTAGAAATTTTCTTTGGGAATTCTATGGGGTGTCCATGAAGTTTCTTTGGAATTTCTATGGTGGTTCTATGGTATTTCTATGGGATCTCTATTGGATTCCTGTGGGGTTCCCATGGTATGTCTATGGTATGTCTCTGGGACTACTATGGGATTTCTATGGTGTGTCAATGGTATTACTATGGGATTCCTATGGGGGTTCAAAAGGATGCCTATGGGATTTCCATTGAATTCCTGTGAGATTTCTTTGGGATTCCATGATATTTCTTGTTTATTTCTATGGTATTTCTATGGGATTACTATGGGATTTCTATTGAGTTTCTGTATGATTTCTATGATATTTCCATCGTTGTTCTTTGGAATTTCTCTGATGTTTCAGAGGTATGCCTATGGAATTTCCATTGGAATTCTATCAGATTTCTATGGGATCTCTATAGTATTTCTATGATTTTTCTGTGGGATTTCTCTGTGATTTCTGTGGGGTTTCCATGAAATTTCTATTGGAATTCTATGATATTTCTATGGGTTTACTATGGGGTTCCTGAAGGAATTCTATGAGATTCTTATGGGGTTTCTTTGTGGTTCCTATGCTATTTCCATGTTATGTCTATTATCTTTCTATGGGATTTCTGAAAGAATCCTATGGGATTTCCATGGTATGCCTATCATATTTCTAATTGATTCTTATGAAAATTCTATGAGATTCCTATGGGATTTAAAAAAAACTTCTATGGTACTGCTATGATATTTCTAGAACATTTCTTTGGGAATTCTGTGGGGCTTCCATGATGTTTCTTTGGAATTTCTATGGTGGTTCTATGGTATTTTTATGGGATTTCTATTGGATTCCTGTGGGGTTCCCATGGTATGTGTATGATATGTCTCTGGGACTACTATGGGATTTCTATGGGGTGTCAATAGTATTTCTACGGGATTCCTATGGGGGTTCAAAGGGATGTCTATGGGATTTCCATGATGCTCCTATGATATTTCTAGAAGGTTTCTATCGGATTTCTGAAGGGATGCTATGGGAATTCAATGGTATTCTTATGGGGTTCCCATTGGGCTCCTATGAGATTTCTATGGTATTTCTATGAGATTTCTGTGGGATTTCTTTGGGATTCCTATGGGATTCCTATGGCATGCCTATGGGAGTTCCATGATGTTTCTATGATATTTCTATGGGATTACTATCGGATTCCTGAAAGAATTCTATGAGATTCTTATGGGTTTCTGTGGGATTCCAATGGCAGTTCCATGATATTTCTATGATCTTTCTATGGGATTACTATATGGGATGCCAATTGAAGGTAAGTTGAAATCAATAGAAAATAAATTCAAACTAAATTGAAATCAAATGAAAATCCATTGAAACTAAGTTGACATCAAATGAAAATCAATTGAACGTAAATTGAAATCAATGGAAAGTCAATTGAAAGCAATTTGAGAGCAAATTGAAAATCGATTGAAAGTAAATTGAAATCAATGGAAAATCAATTGAAAGTAAATTGAAATCAATTGAAAATGAATTGAAATCAATTGAAAGTAAATTGAAATCAATTGAAAATCAATTGAAAGTAAAATGAAAATTTAAAATCAATTGGAAGTAAATTGAAATCAAGTGAAAGCAACTTGAAATCAATTGAAATCTATCATTTTTTTCATGTCCAGTTATTCTGACCCTGGTCCCTTGAAATTTCCAAATTAAAGAGACTCAAAGATTTTTTTCGGGGGGGGAGGGGACCCCTCACACTAATCAGGATACTACATTAATCCCTTTGGAAATTTAGCGGGAACCATTGTGCCCCTGATTTTATAGCTATAATTTGATGGGTCGCAGCCCCCCGTTAACCTTGCAATCTCCATTAAATCAAAGTGTCCAGTCCTACACAGGGATGTGCAAAACTATAAAATCTAAAAAGCCTAGATTCCCTCCCAGTACTCCAGAATGCCTATAAATCAAGGGCATGGCGTTGATAATTTCCCCTTCGAAAGAAAAAATGAATTCCAGCGTATCCCAAAGATCACTAAAAAATCAAATTCTGGGGTGCCTCATTTTGATGGAAACTCTCTCATAATCCCTTTCCCCCTAATACTAAATCCCTCACCCCCCCCTCCCTATTTTTTATTATTCAGACATATTCATTTTTAGGGAACCAAAGCTGAAGTGATGTAAAAAAAAATGTTCTATTTCAAAATCAATTAAATTCCCTTTTAAAATATCATTAAAATATTGCCAAAAATTGGATTTCGAAACTTTCCCCTTGTATTCAAAACGTTAAATTTAAAAAACGAATTCAAAATTGCTTAATTTCGGGTTTTAAATCTACGTGAAATATTGCCAAAAACTGAATTTCGAAGTTTTCCCCTAATAGAAAATTAAAAACCCTACGCTATGCTCACATGACATGAATGTAGTGAAACGTGTCCCCGAAAAAAAAAAAAAAAAACTATTCTCATGTCATCTGCCAGAGCATTTTTTGACACCAACAAAAAAAAACGCACCGACTCACATGTCATCTGCTTTCGGTGCCGAAAAGCACCATGCCCATTTTTTCGCGATACGGTTGTGTTACGCCCGCCTTCCGAAACATATGAATTCATGACATACGATCTCTAGCCCATGAAAAAAAAAAACCGATGAAAAACATTGGTTTGCTCTATGACACCTTTCATTCACGTGATATTCACAAGTCACAAGTATGTCATCACATATACGGTTGCGCACCAACAATACAAAAACAAATGCGCACACACGCAAAACAACGATAACATTAGGAAATAGGTCGTGAAACCTAATGACTTCCAATGATAGAATGAAGAAATAGGTGGGGCTGACTGCACCCCCTCTCCCTCCTCCCGTCCCCTCCACGGGGTTCCTTTTTGGCAATGTATTGTTTGGTAGTTTGATTGGTTTTACTGGACGGTTTCCAGGCAAGATTCACTCTGAGTTGGGCATTTTGCCCTAAAGTTCCAATCAAAACCCCAATCAATCCTCGAAGAATACGGGTTTGGCTCCAATGGAGATAGATCGGTTTGAAAAGGGTAAGAACAAAGGAAACGCCAAAGGAAAAAGTAAGGGTAAAGACACCTCCAAGGGTAAAGGGAAGAACAAAAGCGACAAGGGCAAAGGTAAGTCCAACAAGG